TATCAGATACAAGCAAAAAGAGAAAAAAAAAGAAAGAGAGAGGGGGGGGGTAGAGAGAGAGAGAGAAGAAAAGAGTAGAGAAAAAGAGAGAGAGAGAGAAGAAAAGAGTAGAGAGAAAGAGATAGAGAAGAAAAGAGTAGAGAGAGAGAAGAAAAGAGTAGAGAGAAAGAGAGAGAAGAAAAGAGTAGAGAGAGAGAGAGAGAGACAAACAGACAGACAAAGACACACACAGGCAAACCAGACACAGTAACACAAAGAGAAAAGGGAGTATCTAAAACAAACATAACTTAAACTAAAAAGAAAGGAGAAAAAAGAAAATTAGTTAAAATAGAGAGAAACCAAATAAAAAAAGAGAGAAACGAGAAAAAAAAGAGAGAGAGAGAAGAGAGGGCAAAAAAGAGAAAGAGAGAGAAAACTGAAAACCAAATTTAAAAAAGGAGAAAAAAATAAAAGAAAGAAAATAAAGACAAAAAAAAATAGAGAAAAAGAGATGAAAAAGAGAATTTAACAAAAAAAAAAAATCTCACCTCTAATGCGGCCGCTTCCTCTGTCGTGGCGTCGAGTCTCCATGGTGATGATCTGAGAGCGACAGGGAGAACGTTGTCAGTCAAGCGAGACGTTCCTTATGGCTCTGTGTGGGTGTGTGTGGGTGGTTGGGGGGTGGTGGGGGGAGGGTAGATGTAAGGCTATCTGTGTGTGGTGGGGGGGAGGGGGTACGGGTGAGTGGGGAGCGGGGGTGGACGTGTGTGTTTGTGTGTGTGTCCGTGTGTGTGTGTGTGTGTCCGTGTTGGTGTGTGCGTGAGTGTATCTGTGTCCATGTATGTATGTGTCCGTGCATGTGTGTACGTCTGTGTATGCTTTCGTCTGCGCCTAGGAAATTTTTTTTATCTGACTTATCAGTACGACTTTGGTCCGATTGGCTTGCTTCGCATTTTGTGCTTGTATCTTGCTTGCCTGTGTCCGAGTTTCGTCAAGACCGGCTTGGCTTGGCTCCCTGAAGTTACTCGAAGTATCTGAAGTTGTTTTTTTTAATGCCTTTTATTTTATTCTATTTATCTATTTCATTTTATTTATTTTTACTACAGAATGTTAATTATCATTGCCATTATTACTATTATGATATTATGGTTAATAGAAACATTAATATCATTCTGTAATAATATCATCTGCGTCTCAGTGATTATCATTAATATTTTTAAATTGTGTATACGTTTGCAATTTCGTGTATGTTCATATGAATATATAAACACACGAAGGAAAATATAGATAGATATTTATTCAAGACTATAAAAAAAAACTATTCGGAGTTATTTCATTATTTTTTCTTTTTTTTCTCCTCATTTAATGCCAAAAGGAGAGAATTAGCAGGAGGACGAGAGAACGGGGAAGATAGTGCCAAAAGATATTAACTTATTCTATCGCCCTCTCCCTCTCTTTTTATCCTCTCCCTTCCCTCTTCTCCCTTCCCTTCCACTGCTTGAACTTATTCGATAACCCTTTCCGGCTTCCCTTTACCCTTAACGACCACTCCTCCTCTTTTCATTCCCTTTTCTATTTCCCTTTACCATTTTCCTTTCACCCTTTCAATCTTACTACTTTCATCTCTCGATCTTTCTCCATTTTCATCTTTCCACCTTTCGTCTTCCTCCACCTTTCTTCTCTCGATCTTCCTTCATCTTTATCTTCCTCCATCTTCATTTTCCTCTTCCTCTTCCTCTTCCTCCATCTTCATCTTCGTCTTCCTCTCCCTCCATCTTCATCTTCCTCTTCCTCCATCTTCCTCTTCCTCCATCTTCATCTTTCTCCATCTTCAATTCATTTTCATCACACGCACTTCTTTCTCCCTCTTTTTCTACCTCCTTTCTCACCCTCCTCTTTCACCTTTTTCCTTCCCTCCCCTCCCCCCCCCTCCCCAGAACCCACACCCATACCAAGCTACCCACTCACTCCCTCCTTACTAACCCACCCACGACCCCTGTAGCAACCCACCCACCCACTGGCCTATCCAACCCACCTTTTTACCGACACACCCACCCACTGCCCCTTGACTAACCCACCCACAACCCACCTTACCTCTACCCCCACCCATTCTTACCCTTTTAGCAACGTACCCACCCACTGCCTTCTTCCTAACCCACCTATTTCCCCCTTTTAATAACCCACCCACTCTTACCCCTTTCTCAAACCCCTTTCCCCCCCCCCTTCTCCGCCCACTCACTCCCCCAATCCACCCTTACCCCTTTCCCAACCCCCTCCCCCTTCCCCGCCCACTCACCCCGCCCATTCACCCCGCCCGCTCCCTCCACCCACCTCACCCTCCCACCCACACCCACCCTACCCTCGCGCCGTGAAGGAGCTCCGTCTCTCGTCACAGATATATTGGCTCGATAAACTGACCGCCGCGCCCATTGACAATGTCTTGGGGAAGGAGCTTGATAACTTTCTTGAGATTTTTTTTTTTTTTTCTTTTTTTTCTTTTTTTTTTATGTCTTCCAGAAATTCCAGATTTATGTCTTGTCCCTTTGAAGACGAGACCAAGTTTGACCGGATGATAACAATTCAGGCAGTCAGTGATGGGCGGGGGTGGGTTGAGGGGATGGAGTGGGTGGGGGTATGGAGTGGGTGGGGGAGGGTTGGAGTGGGTGGGGGTAGGTTGAGGTGGGTAGGGGGATGGAGTGGGCGGGGGGGTGGGGGGGGATGGAGAGGGTGGGTTCTATGGTTGGTGGGTTCTATGGTGGGTTGGAATGGGTGGGTGGGATGGGTTGAGGGGAGAGGGGGGGCTAAGCAGGCAGGTAGGTGGGTGAAGGGGTTTATGGGTATTATATGAAACGGGGGAGGGAGGGAGGGGGGCGGGGAGAGAGAGGCCATGGGGGGGGAGTGACCATGGTGGGGAGTGGCCATGGGGGGGGAGAGGCCGTGGGGGGGAGGGACCGTGAGGGGAGGGGAGGGGGGAAAGGCTTTTCGGGAGAGTGAGTGGGGAGGAGTGGGCGCTTCGGGGGTGAGAGGGAGGGGGGAAGGGGAGGAATAAGAGTAGGGGCGGAGTGCAAAGGGGGTGGGGGAGGGGGGGAGGGGAGGAGGGGACGGCACTGCAACTATGACCGAGAGGACGCGGGTTACGGCTCACTGCAGCTGTGAAAATATTTTGTTGTGGTTTCGTTCTGTTCGAAGAGGAAGGTTTAGTGGGACGAGAGCGGAATTTTCGACATTTCCCGTATCTTGGGGCTTTTATCTCTTTCTGTCTATTTGCACATATAGATCCTTGTGTGTGTGTGTGTAGGGTTAGGTCTGTGTGTGTGTGTGTGTGTGTGTGTTTCTCTTTCTTTTATATTTATATATATATATATATATATATATATATATATATATATATATAAATATATTTGTGTGTGTGTATGTATATATATATATATATATATATATATATATATATATATATATATATATATATATATGTATATATAGATAGATAGATAGATAGATATAGATATAGATATAGATATATATACAAATATGAATATATATATACATACATATATATATATATATATATATATATATATATATATATATATATATATGTGTGTGTGTGTGTGTGTGTGTGTGTGTGTGTGGTTAATTATTTTGTAACGCAACACCACATGTATTTCCAGCTCATCCGACTACTCTCCTATTTCAAGAAATACATTTTGATAAAAAAAAAAAAAAACTTTGAATGCCTTTTGTGTGAATGTTAATGTTGAAAATGCTTCTCTTATTCCGAGCCTGTAGCATGGCTGTTGTTAAGGCTTCGGTACCAGCGATGTTCTCATGACGAAATCTATTACTGTTAAGAACTCTCTTGATACAGCTTTGCAAGACCTATTGATCGGTCTTCATTAAAGTGCGTCGCTTGAATGTCTGACAACCATGAGGCTTTTATTTCAAAGGTGAACCATGTGATCATTATAGTCCGCTGTGATTAATTTTAATTAAAATACTGATCGTTATGCAAGAGCGATTCCCTTCCGGTGGCTCCGAACTTATGAGGTCCCGCAAAGTTCAAACTTGCCAGAGGTTCCGGGGTTATGTCAATACTAAGATAGGCTTATATTCAAATTAAATGTATATATGTATGTATATATATGTGTGTGTGTGTGTGTGTGTGTGTGTGTGTGTGTGCGTATGTGTGGGTGTATGTGTGTGTGTGTGTGCGTGTGAGTGCGTGTGCGTGCGTGTGAGTGTGTGTGTGTGTGTGTGTGTGTGTGTGATAGTATATAGAATTATTCCTTTTTTTTTATTAAAGTTTTCATTGATTCATTTCCATACCCGATTACATGTCCTTCAATTAGTAGAGGTTTTCAATACATCTCGGCAATTTTATTGTTATCCTCCGGTTATTCACCTCTTATACACAGTATTATCGTATAGTCTTAAAAACAATCCTGTTGCCGACTCAGATGATGTTACACGCTCTGCAACATCCCCCCCCCTTTTATCATGCAGAACTAAGGTTACTGGCCAAGAGTAACAAAGTATTACGCCAAACACAATGTTTCAATATTAACAAGTCCAGAAATTTGAAACTTGCAATGCGTAACTAATATCTTAACTCTACTAAACTTCAGTCAGTTTTATTATCAAGCTCGTCATTAGTCTTTATGTAGCTTTCCTCTTTTTTTCTCTTCCTCGGTTGCACAGTTGGCGTTTTGAGAAAGAAAATAATGTTTTGCAAAGTGGGCTAACCAATTCTTTATTTACATTACTTCGGTGCCTGTGGATTTATGGCGCGCTGTTTTTAGTTAAGTTAAGGAATGCTGATATATATATATATTTGTATTATATATATATATATATATATATATATATATATATATATATATATACATATATACATATGCATATATATATGCATGTGTATACATATATGATATATATACACATGTATATATGTGTGTGTATTTGCTCCATTCTTGAGGAAACACCTAGTTGGCAACCTTTTAGCTAAGCCCCGCCCCGTCGCTTTTATTCATAGCATTTTGATTTTCTTTTTTCATTATTTTTTACCACTGTTATTACTGAACCATATCAAAGAAAATGGACGAAAAAACACTTACCATAAAGAATCGCACAGATTGACAGGCTCAAAAAGAGGGCGGAGCTAATCACGTTTACCCAGTGCGAGTGAGTGTATAATATCAGATATAGCTAGATACATAATTATTTATATATTTTACTCTACAATATTATAACTACCAGAAATAAAACCAAAATTCCCCCCTTCTATTCATAATAGCAAAGAGTTCCTTACCATTAACAGTCGTCAGTATACTCTTAGAGAAAAGTTAATTTCTATTTTGGGTTCATCAGGCTAAATGGCAGTGTGACTACCAGGTGATAGGAACCTTTGGATTTATGGCGCGCTGTTTCTTCAGTGAGGGAGTACCTATGACTGTGTAACATATGTACATTATATTTATATCTATATTATTCATACACACAAACACACACACACACACACACACACACACACACACACACACATGTATATATATATATATATATATATATATATATATATATATATATATATATATATATAT